CAAATTATCTTTATGATTATAATACATACATACATAACATCACGCCTTTTATCCCCAAAGGGGTAGGCAGAGGTGCACATTATGCTTATGCCACTGTACAACGTAACACCCACTTTTCAGTATTTATGTTATGAGTCCCATGTAATAGGGGGTGAGCCTATTGCCATATACCGGGCACAATTCCAGTCTCCGTGCTACTACTGAGAATTTAAAAAAAACCTGTAATACTTTGCCCGGTCCGGGAATCGAACCCGAGACCCCTTGCCAGGCAGTCGCACTTGCGACCTCTCGGCCAACGAAGCAGATTATTTATATTATATTTTAGTAATATTAATTGTTAATATACTTAAATACTTAGATGAGTCCAATCGTGACCATGGACTGAGTACATAAAAAACTATAATTCAAGCAATTGCTCATGTTTCAGGAGAATATTTATTTAATGTATGTATACCAGCGGCGACGTCCACGTTCTTCGTGATAAGAAGAAGCCTATGTATTATCGGACCATAGTGTTCCAAATTTCATGCCGGTCCGGCGGTCCCTTTAGTCGTTTTGATGTGACTGAGTTACAAACAGACACACAAACACAACAACTCACAAATTTTCGCATTTATAATATCGGTTCAAGCTAATTTCAACTGTCAGCTCTACAGTTACAGCTTAAAGTCCACTGCGGGCAACTTGACATTCGACAAACCTTTATTTGCTTTTTGGACACAACTGTCTTAGTTAGTATTAGGGATCGAGCCGCACAATAAAGTTTGTGTGTGTAAGTCACTGATGTGTAAGTATAGTTTTTCGGGATAAAAATTATCCAGTATGATGCTCAGGATATTAAAGTCTCGTCGTAATCGAACCGGTAGTTTTGCGTGTTACGTGAACAAACAGACAGACAAACAGATAAAAATATTTTTAATCACATTTTTGGTTTCGGTGTCTATTTTGTAATACCCCTTACTATTTATTTGATTAAAATATTTTCAATGCACAGAATTTACACTTCTACAGTTTTAGTATATGTATACAAGATCTATTTTACATTAATACATAACATAATATCACGCCTTTTATCCCCGAGGGGGTAGGCAGAGGTGCTCATTATGCCACTACAATGTAACGGCCACTTTTTACTATTTATGTTATGTAATATAATACGGAGTATATGAGTCCGTACGTACGAGTCCCATGTAATACGGAGTGAACCTATTGCCATATTAGTCCAAGAGCTAGTGAACCCTGGGAGTAACGGTCTCCCTGTAAGGTTAGAAATTTGTATACTTACGATTTATGGTATTCTAAGAGCAATAGCCATGACCTGGCAGGCGTCAGCCCTGCACGTCATCAGCCCCTTTATTTTTTGAACTGTTAAGTAAATTGGGTTTCAAAACTTGTTTCTGTAAATTTGGAAATTTAATAGGATAAAGTTTATTTATTGTACATCTTAAAAAAAAATTGACAGGTGATTACAATAAGCAGAAGTATATGACAGATCAATTAGAAAACGCACAGTTGATGAGGTAATTAATAAACTTTATCCTGTATACTTGAAATTTTTATATGTCTTCAAATAAACGTCTCAGAGTAAATATGTACAATGCCAGGCGGTTTTGAACAGCATAAGACATTGACAGGCGAGGGTAAATATGTACAATGCCAGGCGGTTTTGAACAGCATAAGACCTTGACAGGCGAGGGTAAATATGTACAATGCCAGGCGGTTTTGAACAGCATAAGACCTTGACAGGCGAGGGGACAGCTGCTAAGAGCGTGCGAGAAGTGTCATGAAGATGGTACAATACATAAAACTCAGAAATCAGCAATGGTTGAAATTTTAAAGGCAAATGTCAACTGTGAAGACGTACCAAGACGTTTTGATGTTGTCATTTTTGATTTTTGATGGATTCTTCTTACTGCATACATTAAAAAATATCCCCAAAACATTTAGTGGTATTTCCAAAAATATTATGTCGCTACTAACAGCTACACATGACTCATGAGTAGATATCATTTTCGACCAATACTTTTCGCCGTAAATTAAAGATTATGAACGAGCCAAACGACAAGAAGTACGAAACAAAAATTATTTCATTACCGGACCAGAACAAATTCGACCAGTTGATTTTATGAAAGAACTTCGTAACATACAATTTAAAGAAGCTTTCGTAGATTTTTTAATTACACATTGGAGCACAAATGAAATGATAGAGTTTATCGGGAATACCATAGTGAACTTAAATTACAAACAATGCCATACTTATAGTGTCCATAATAACTCTGTGATTGTCGATATAAATGATGATTTATCGTGCCAAAACCATGAAGAGGCGTTTAAAATTTGCCTTTAAAATTTCAACCATTGCTGATTTCTGAGTTTTATGTATTGTACCATCTTCATGACACTTCTCGCACGCTCTTAGCAGCTGTCCCCTCGCCTGTCAAGGTCTTATGCTGTTCAAAACCGCCTGGCATTGTACATATTTACCCTCGCCTGTCAAGGTCTTATGCTGTTCAAAACCGCCTGGCATTGTACATATTTACTCTGAGACGTTTATTTGAAGACATATAAAAATTTCAAGTATACAGGATAAAGTTTATTAATTACCTCATCAACTGTGCGTTTTCTAATTGATCTGTCATATACTTCTGCTTATTGTAATCACCTGTCAATTTTTTTTTAAGATGTACAATAAATAAACTTTATCCTATTAAATTTTCAAATTTACAGAAACAAGTTTTAAAACCCAATTTACTTAACAGTTCAAAAAATAAAGGGGCTGATGACGTGCAGGGCTGACGCCTGCCAGGTCATGGCTATTGCTCTTAGAATACCATAAATCGTAAGTATACAAATTTCTAATCTTACAGGGAGACCGTTACTCCCAGGGTTCACTGGCTCTCCAGCTATATACCGCGGGCACAATTGACTCCGTGCTACTACTGAGATTTTTTAAAACCCAGTAATACTTTGCCCGTCTCGGGAAAAAAATCCAAGTCAGATAGTCAGATCCCTAACAGAGGGCGGAGGTGTAATGGCAAGCCTGCTGTGTACTTTTTATAAGCGTTGGCGGTGCGGTCGTGTCCCTGGAGACTGGGCCAAGGCCGTAATTGTCCCACTGTATAAAGGAAAAGGATCACAGCAGGAGGGCAAAAATTATCGCGGTATAAGCCTCCTAAGCGTAGTAGGAAAGTTGTATGCCAAGATGTTGATTGAAAGAGTGATGGATGTAACTGAGAATAAAATCTGGGATGGGCAAGCGGGACTTCGAAAAGGAATGGGGTGTACGGATCAAGTCTTTTCATTACGGTGCATTTCAGAGAAAGTCTCAGCCTTCTTCTTACCAAAAGGAATACTGTGCCTTTATTGACCTAGAAAAGGCTTACGACAGAGTGGTGAGATACGAATTGTGGTCAACTCTGTCCATGTATGGGGTGGATAGCCCCCTGATTCGGGCACTCATATCCTTATAGTCCTTAACTCGAGTGCCTGTGTCAGAATAAATGAGGCCTGCACAGAGTGGTTTAACATTAATCGAGGTGCTATTGTCTAGCACCTCGATTGGCTGTGTTGCATCTCCTTGGCTGTTCAACCTATTTATGGATGGATAGCTGTTTGAACGATCTGAAAGTAGGAGAGTCTGGATTACACACACAGTGATTAAAACATTGTTGTATGCCGACGACCAGGTGCTTGTTGCCTCGTCGGTCGAAGAATTACAACGAATGATCACTGTTATGAATGATGCATTTGAAAGGAAGGGTATGAAAGTAAATGTGAACAAGACAAAAGTGAAAATAATATCCAGCAAAGCTCGACTTGCTGTAATGCAGTGTGTATTGACATCAACGCTTATGTATGGTAGTGAATGGGTGTGGCAGAAGAAGCATGAGAGCAGGATTAATGCGGCGGAAATGACAGCCCTGAGAAATATGTGTGGACTAAAATTGAGTGCTCGAGTGAAAAATAGTGTTACTAGAGAAAAGTGTGGATTGAAAGATGATGTAGTGACAAGGATTGAAAAGGGAATGTTACTCTGGTTTGGACATGTAGAAAGGATGGATGAAAGTAGAGTAACGAAAGAAGTATACAGAGCGGAAATGAATGAGGCCGTCGGTAGAGGGCGCCCTAGACGGACATATAGTGACCAGATTGGCGTTATATTAAAGAAGGGCCAAATTAAAAGCACCCTTAACCGACGAGCATTCATGAAAAGATTGACGACTGTTGATAAAGCGAAAGAGGTATGTAGGAATCGTAGTAATTGGCGTTCCATAGTCTTTGCCTACCCCCACGGGAGACAGGCGTGAAGTTATGTATGTATGTCACAATTCTCTACAATCTGGCCCGAGTAGAGAAAGTAAAGTTGAGAAAGCGGCGCGTTTTTTATGTCTAATGCTGTAGTCTTTTATAGGTCTAGTAATGTTAGCCTAAGAAACGTTAAACCACAGATTATACACTGTCTCCATTCTGGGCAAGAGTTGTCCCATTCCCATAGGTATAAAGATGGTCCATCAATCTCCTATCTAATTGTAAGTTTGAAATCGCCAATCCGCTTTGAACAAGCGTGAAAATTAATGCTCTTACCTTCTCCACGTGGGAAAAGGCCTTTTAGCAGCGGGCACTTTTATAGGCTGATGATGAGGATGACCAAACTACTTAGGTAAGTACGATCGAAAGTTTACGATAGTACACTTTTGAAACAAAATCTTGTAAAATACTCGTTATCCAACGCGAGTTTTCTCTTTGGGCGCTCGCACCGAGTGCATGTATCGATGTCGCTAACTTTGTCGATTGTACCTACTCAGTAACTTAATCAGGTTTTAAAGTATTTAACGTGAGACATACTAAATTAACTAAAGATCGCGGGCGCGCATGTTGCTCATGAGTAAGAACCCCTCTGTGTTTCGAAACTAGTAGAGCTTTTTTAAGTACCTATTTTCACATGAGTAACCCGCAATTTTTAGTTAATTGAGGTTTTAAAAGGTAAATAAAATTTCTGATTTCTTATAATCACGCTTAATATTTTTCGATTATATAAAAGAAATGTTCATTTGCAGAGACTCAATTGTAAAAGTGGCTTCCCAACGGAAGTAGGTGACGCCCAGCGGCCCAGCGGCCGCGCTACAGGTAGCAAAGACAGAACAGATCATACACATACATATTATCACAGAACAAACTTCGGTGACTGCTAGAGTCCGCGGTCAGAGTTCCTATGCTATTCGTGAAATCAATAAACTAACCGTGAGAGGCCACCTTTACACATACAATATTAATAATTACAATTAGCTACACAGCTGCTTTCTGTCCGCGACCTGCTCACCTCGACTCACAATACAATACTGCAAGGTGTATGTAATTATAGCAATGCAGAAAATAATGGAAATCGGTGCATGCATCTCTTATATCTAGATAGTAATTAACGGAGCATCTCTAATCACTTTGAAGCAACTAAATTATAGGTGAATTATGTGACACATCCGTCTGCGCCAAGTCAAGTGATTTTTGAGTATTGTCGTTAGTTTCTTATGAGACAACTGTTTTCATGATCAAATTGTTTTTGATAGCTAAGGCAGTAAATGTAACGAGACACGCGGATGTTAGTTTCCCGTTAGCAGCTTTGAAGGTGGAAGGAGGCGGCGAGGAGGTCGCGGGCCGGGGCCGTCGGCTCTCTGCGTGGCGCGGCTGGCGCCGGGCGCGCAGGCACACTTAACTATGTCATTTTTAAGGTCCTTTACATTTATTTACAATATTATAGTAATTTTATTGGATTTCCAATAATAATGTTCCTTTCGTCTGTAGCATGAAAACGCTACAATAATTAATTTACACACGTAGATGCAAGCTCTCTCGGAGTCATCCGTCGTCAGATAGATATCACTCGTGATGCTCGGTCTATACACTATGTACAGGGGCGGCGGCGGGCGCTGCAGCTAGTGGGCGGCGGGGTCGGCGCGCTCGGGGCGCTCGGGGCGCATGGGCGGGAAGTGCTTGGGGTCGCGCAGGTCGAAGGCCCGCGCGGGCGCCGGCGCCGCCTCCAGCGCCGCGCCCAGCTCGGCCGCGCGCTCCGACTCTGTGGGCAGACGGAGGCTCAGGCCGGGCGCTTGCACTGCATGCACCGCTTGTACGATATATCAACTCATGCGGAACTTTCTCTGGAGGGTTACATACCTACGACGATATGAATGTGCGCTCTGGTGTTGTCCACATACATACCTCCGTACCTTACAACTAGTACGTGCCAAGTAGTATCCAGCTCAAATAGCCTGTTCAACAATATAGTGGGACGTGAAGTAGATAACATACGAGTGGCAGTAAACACTATACATTTGTAACAAAAACATTGATATTTTATTACATAGAACACTGCAGGTAATTCGTGTAACTTTCAAGCAGGAACGACAAATTTAGAGTACACATTAAACAATCACAATAATTAAATCACATTTGAATAAATAATAAGTACCATGTGAGAGGACAGCTGCCCAAAACAAGTGTTCTCGCACTTTAGCGGTCATCAAACATACTCATACAACACAGAAAAGTTTACAACATACCATTGCACAAGTTGAATGCGATGGTGGTAGTAACAGAAGTAGATCGTATCGAGCACAGCCGGTCCGAGTACACATACAATACATAATATATCGGCGCGAGGAGCGGCCGCTCCACCTGCACCGGGACGCGGGGCCAGAGCCGCGACTGGCGCGACTTACCTCGGCGCGAGCTACGTCACTACACGAGCACTACCTGACACATGCAGCTCGGCGGGGGGCGCGGGGGGCGCGGGGAGGGGCGGGGGAGGGGGGCGGGGGCCTGTACCTGTCATCCGCGCCGGGTCCCGGCCGCGCAGCGCGCCCGCGTAACTGTTGCTAGTGGACAGCGCCGCCACTGCGCGGGAACAATACGTTAGACTGGGGGCTGGGGGCTCTACTGCTTCCGACAAGGTTTTAGATAAGTATCGTCGTTGACTCACAAATCTAACAGGCAAACTAGTTACGACGATATCGATAGTTTCACGATTTGTGTTTTGAACTTTCGAAAGGCTAAGTGTTAGGGCTCTTTCAATTCAGACGTTTAGTGTCGGACGAACGCCGCACTCATAACCCGATGCCGACCGATCCAATCGCTTTAATTGACTGTCGTGCGTCTATAAATAATTCTAGTCGTGTTTAAATTCCTTCACATTAATATCATTTATTTCATTTTTAAGCAAATATAAAAATTAAATTTCTACAAAATTAGCTCTCACGTCTAGTCTCGCACTACTCAGCAGTGAAATGAACTCGAGAAGCTGACGACGACGTTCCGTGTTATCGTCGCGCGTGTTCGCTACCGAAACCGCACCGTTGTCGCGCGCTTTCTTTGAAAAAGACTGTCCGTTCACTGCAGTCGTCCGTCACGAAATGACTAAATTGGAAGAGTCCTTATTCTGATATAAATATGATCGCGTCTGTCGTTCAGTATGGGCAGAAGACAAGATCTTGAATCCAGCCTGAACACTGCTTTCACTCCACGCACCATCATCATGCAAGCTTTCCTCCCTTTTAGTACTGCGCCAACCGTGCAGTCAACTATTAGGTACAATTATGATGATGAAGGTTAACAACTAACAAGTCAAATCCTATAGTTCTATCAAAATGATAATTTTGTATGAGATGGCTAGTTATGACGTCGTAATATAATATGTTGGCGTCAAATAGCATATTTTAAATTATACCTCAAAAATAAATCGTCAAGTCAAATCAATTAGAAAGTGTAACGGTACTTTTATGTTATGTTTTGAAAAAAAAAAAACATTAAGTAGCACCACGCCTTCTAGGGTATAGGCAGAAGTCTGGTGCTCATTAAGGCACTTGTTGCCACTTAAAGAAACAATATAATAGGTACATTTTTGATTTTTTTTTTTACACTTAGTTGCAATAAACGCTTTCACTTTGACTTTGAGCATGTAAGGTAAAACAGTGACGCTGATCGTCGGTCGGCGATGACCAAGTGTATGTAATGTTCCTGCAGCACACGGCAGACGTACCTTCATGTGACGTCGTCGTTGCAGTCTCTGACAATAGGGATGATGACGGCGTATTACAATTAAATATATATTTAGTCCGTCAATTAGATAACGAAAAAATATTAGACAAATATTTTTTATTTTGTCATGTCAAGAAATCAATACTTAGATAAAACTAATCAAAGTTTAGAAGTGGGAGTTATAACGTCATTTCTACGCATCAAAAGTACATACATACAAGTGACGTCCATATTTCAAATCAATATATCGTCGAAATTATTTATTTCTTAAAAATACGAGTCTTTAATTTACCAAACGGATATTAAAATAAGAATTAGTCCAGTAATAAACCTTATTGCCTACGCTTACGTACAATTTTTACTGAACAACTGTTGGCGACGACTGACTCTTGCTCACCACTACAATCTGAGTAGAAAAGGCACCGCGAAAACATATTAATACGTTATTACAAGCAAAGTAAAATAGAACTTGGAGTTGTTTGTGTCGCGGCAAGACGAGCATCAAGTCTGCAATGTCCGGCGCTCACAAGGAATACGAAACTATCACCATGACACCGTGTCACCGCAACGACGATACTTATTGAGACCTTGTTTTTTGTAGGTTACCATTGTGCCTACATTACCAAAACCAGACTGACCATGACCATGTATATATATATAGTAAGAATACATAAATAGTAAATACATTTGTCATTTTCCATGTCAATACATACATTTTAATACATAATATCATATTTATGTTCTCATTTTTACTTGAATTACTGATTGCATGATTTATTACATAATATATAATAATAATAAACCTAGCATTAGTTAATGAATTTAGGATAATAAATAAGGGAAGAGAAATAAGAGATGACGATTAGTAACTACGCGCTGAATATTTTGTGTGAACATAATGTCAGTCGAAGAGACTCGTGAAGTGAGAGCGGCGGAGCGCGGAGGAGGGGGGATAGGCGTGATCCAGTCAGTGCGGGGGACGGGACGCGGGAGGGGGACGGGGAAGCAATGTGCGGCCTTGGCGGCCCGGGCCGGGCGATGGCACCCGCCGGGCCGCCGGGCCGGGACCGGCGACGGCGAGCACTCACCTTCCTGCGGCGCGGGGGCCGCGGCCGGCCGCTCCAGGAACTGGTGCTGGCGCAGCAGCGTGCAGTCGCCGCCCTCGGCGTCCAGCGCGTACACGTACAGCACGCCCTGCGCCGTGGCCACCAGCAGGCGCGGCGCGCGCGCCACGCTGGTGATGGCGGCCACCGCGCGGTAGCCCGTGTGCGGCAGGCGCGCGGCCGCGAAGGCGCGGCCCTGCGCCAGCACGTCCGCCACCTGCGCCGGCAGGTAGCCCGCGCCGGCCGACACGGCGCTGGACAGCCAGCCCATCCAGCCCCCCGCCGCCTCGTCATCGGCCGGCGCGGGCTCGTCGGCCGCGGGCCCAGCCGGCGCGGGCTCGGTGAGCCGGAACACGTGCACGGTCTCCGTGTTGGAAGTGGCGGCCAGGTAGCTGCCGCAGGCGCTGAAGGCGAGGCAGGCGATGGACACGCAGCGCTTGACGCCGCGCCGAAACTCGTAGAGGCGCGTCCGCTCGGGCACCGCGAACACGCGGATGACGGTGCCGCGCTCGGACGCGGTGGCGAGCCGGCGCCCGCACATGGACCACGCCAGCGCCGCCAGCGGGCTGTCGTGCGCACTGATCACGCACTTTGCATTCTGTGGAGGACACGGCGATCAGCGACATTTTAAGGATGCGGAGTCGCGGGGCTGGGGCAGGCGTCACTCACCAGATGCACGGCGTCAAAGATCTGCACTTCTCCCACGGCACTGGAGCCGGGGTAGGCCACGTAGCAGTGGTCCACGCAGGGCGACAGCGCGCAGAGGCCGCGCGGGTTGGGCGGCGTGTCGCGGATGGTGTGCAGGATCTTCATGTCGCGGATGTTGTGGATGTGCAGCGACTCCTCCAGACACACGATGAGCCTCTGCAACAGACACAGGCCATGAGCCGGCCGCCCAGTCACTGCGCCCACTGCGCTCGCTGCCCTGCGTCACTCACGGATCTGTTGAGCTTCACTGCCAGGATGGTGTTGCTGTAGCTGTAGTTGCATATCTCAGTACCCTTCTTGTAATGGCATACTATCAGCTTCCTGTAAACAAAAAAATTTATTTGTGATCGAATTTGCCTGCTCCGGGCATCCAAACTGATAAGTACTCTTTGTTTAGCAGATGTTTAAGTCAATTGTTACCTGGGAGCGGATACAGTGACCACAGCCACAAGCGAGCTGCTGAATAGTCGGTCGACGAGGCAGGTCTCGTGCCCTGAGCGGCTGGCGTAAATTTCCTCGATGCCATCGTCTGCAGTTAGCGTGAACAGGTGGTACCCACTACTACTGCCCGCCACCAAGGACCTGCAATATCACATTTCTACTCACTTGCCGTCGAATACAAAATAAAAAGAATACGTGTTTAATATTTTTTCATTACCTAACTGACGCATGACGGAATAAATAGGTAGATTTTAAATTTTCATACGCGCCGTCATTATCAAAATCAAATCAATTTATTTGTGAACACAGGTAATACAGAAGGGTGTTAAAAAATACATCAATATTTTAAATAAATATACATTAGTATCTCCATGTTCTACCAATAAAATTGGTGTACACCAAGCGTTAAATTGATGTATTTAAATTAAACTGTCAAACACCAAGCGGTCACCGGTGACCGCGACCTATTGTTCTTTAATTGTGTCTATAAAACCGGTACTCGACGAGTTAAATAAGTATGATGAGAACCACTGGCACCGACTTCTAACCTATCAGTAGGTGTGTAAGCTATAAGTATGTATGACCAATAATAGTTAATTTTTTCCTTTTTAGTTTTTACTTTTCGTTTGTCATTAGTTTTTGAAGTCAGTTTTTTTAAACACAGTTTTTTATTTAATTAATTATTTATTGCATTGAAAAGTTGAAACAATTTATTTTAAACTTAAAAAACTAGCCAATTATAATAACCTGTGTCCTTTTCTAAAATACAAAAGTGATTGGTTATCATCACATGTATTAGTCACTCAGATATTTGTTTTTTATTTAAATCTTATCCCAACCAGTTTAGAGTTGGCAATGACTCAACTAAATTCAGTTGAATGTCCATACTTTACATGAACATGTTCTTGACAGGAGCTCCACCATTATAACTCACCATACCATTATATCTTAGACCAATTCAGGCACCCAAAACCCTGATCTTTAGACATTTTTTTCCCAAGGACATTCAGAATATTAAACAAACTGCTGTGGAAAACCACATGACTTAATTAAAGCAAAAAACAATATATTACTATAATATTACAATTACTTACTGTACATGAGGTACCATACCCTGTACACCTGCAGCATTGAACATTAGCAATGATAATGATGATAATCATTATATTTATCTCTAGTACATTAAGACAATAAAATTTTAATAACTATTTTGTTGTCAGCTTACTCAGATAACTGTGTGATGAGAAACTCTTAATAGTCGAGTGAGTAAGCTGAAACAAAAACAATCAATAATTCACTACTGGTTAGCTCCGGACTGAATCAATTTATTGTCCTTAAGGTTATTTTCTATTTCGATCTCTTAAACGGAATTTTGGTGTTACATTGTTCTCACACGATTGAACCAACAAAACTATGTAACTTGTGAATTGTATATATAAAACTGAAGAGTTTGTTTGTTTCAACATACAAATCTCCAGAACTACTTACTGGTTTGAACTGAAGGAAGGAAGGGTTTTTTTTGTGTTGGATAGTCCATTAATCTGGGAAAGCTATAAGATATAAAAGTGAAACAGGTGAACAAGTGAATTTATTTCTGCAAATAGGCTACAAGGCAGCACTTTTCACTTTACACGTCAATTTTATCAAGCGAACGATGAGGTCGACATTTCCTAACTGACTACTCTGAGAAGAAATGCCGAAACAAACTCAGAGGTCCGTCTCTTTTAAAGTCCAGACAATATGTATAATAGATTATGTGTGAGAACCGTGCAAGTTCTTTCTGTAGTGGCCTTTTGAGGAAAGAACCACATCAGTTTGAGCGGACCCGTTCTGAAGGCAGTATGCATGTGTCGGTTTACAGTCGGCTCAATTAACAGGTGAGGCCGACTGATTCGACGAACAATACCAACCTAAAGAACATTTGCGTGGGTCGCACAAATACTCAAACTGTCAGAATATGGGTAATTAAAAAAGAAATGGTGAGGCAAAACATCAAGTTACATCAATAAGAGGCAAGCAGTGGGTGAAACCACATGGGAGTAACTTAGTCTATACTTAATACATAAAATTAGAAAGTTTTGTTTGAATGTGTTAATCTCCAGATGTGCTTGTTTAATTAAATTTTTTTTTTGGTTTGGGTTATTGGATAGTCCCTTTATGAGGAAGTCACACTATGTCATCAATGTAAACCAAGCAGCAGGGAGTAACTAGCTATGTAAAAATATGCTAAATGTTACTGACATTATTAATGTTATAGTTTGTTTGTTTGTGTGTAAGGTCTGGAATAACATAGGCTACTTTTGATTCGACAAGAACGCGGGCGAAGCGGATCGCCTTAGCTAGTTCCACAATAATGACTGTATCTCCACTTAGGCATTAACCCAGTAAATAAATTTTAGCTAGATATACCAAAGGAAAAATCATACACTGTTTACGCTGACACCAGCATGGTCCCAAATAAAAGTACTGCGACTGGCCATGCGTGCGATGGAAGACCGAGTGGCGCCACACGCGGATTCGACGTATATTATTATAGACGGGCTAACACTGGCTGTTGCTTTTAATATGCTAGTCGTCGTCGTTTTGCCATGTAATATAGTACTCCATCGATACAACAGTATATTATCACACGCCGTTAAAGATGTACTAGGGACACAACAATCCGATCTCCACGCGGGAGTCGGGACAACGCGCGTGGACCCGGCGCATGGACACGCGGAGGCTGCCTGTCGTGGACGTTAGCTTAGTGCAGTTTCAGCTCATATATCATTATGGTGTAATGATTTCCTGACTGTTGTTATTGATAGAATCTAAGACAGCGAATATTGACACCTCAAAGTAGATGATATTTAGATTTGTGTTTTTATTATGAACCACTTATAGTGGAGTACAGAATCAAAATATGACGTCAGTGTACCCTGCCAGGGTGCTATTATTAACTAGTTTTTGTCAAGCATCACAATTTTATGTACCAAGGTCATGAAGTAAACACCTATGGTAAATAAATATATCAACAGCTGTTACATTCTATTCCTTTGTTTGATGATAAGTTGTAGCACAGAACTGTGAACTATGAAGCGTCAAGCAAGTTAGCAAGTGACTAGTTGACTACACAAACATCAAATGAGATAGTTTGCTTGACCTCGACGCCATGTTTGTTTACAGCTAGTGCTGCGGAGTACGGATGAAGACATTACGAAACAGCTGGCAATGACATATTGCATCATCACGCTAACAACGAAACGCACTTCTAACAATAACGAACTTTATTTACTGATATCGCATCCTTTCCTTGGTAATTTCAGCCAGTGCGAGATTTTACTTCCCAATCACATAACATTATATTGTTAGCAATAGGCCAATGAAGCTCCACAGATCCTTGAAAGTCTAATGCAATACTTACGTGCAGTCCTGATTGAATTGTACAAATATTCCTCCTGCATTTGAGCCATCAGAGCTTTGTCCTCCTCCACTCATTGGAACGTTCGAATGATACAGATTATTTAAAAACTAAGTTCTAAAAATAAAGGCACACACGAACAACAAAAATAATTATTTTGGTTGTAGAAGTATAATCACTCACGCCACAAAGTTAATACTTGAAACTAATTGTTCGTCACAAGAATCTGAATTTTGACACAAAGAACGACCTTGTTGCAGCTGCTAAAAACAAGCCCCCTCCCCCGCACTGTTCTAATCTATTAATGTTGCCAACAGTATCAACTTTTATGCTACCTATTTTGTTGAATTCTTAATAACTGCTTCTTCTTCTTTAGTTGCTGGTAGAGATGGTCGATACTGAAAAGGGAAAACTACTTATATGCTAAAATCGCCCATATCTAGTTGTTGATTTTGGATTTAATACTCATTGTAACATAATCCTAACTATATATATATAATATATTCCGATTTATAATATTAATATAATAACATATTATGTTATCGGAAAGTGAGTGTGTTTGTTTGTTTGTTTGTTCCGATTTCACGCCGTAACTACTAAATCGATTGCTTTGAATTTTTGCAGACGTAAAGATAGAAGTCTGAATTAAATAATAGGGTACTTTTGAGCCAGGAAAAAATTATATTCCCGAGGGAAAACAAAAGTATTGGTATAAATGGCGCTGTATGTATAGGTATATGTCACCTAGGCTACTTTTTATCCTTTTGTGACGCGAGCGAAGCAGCGGGTAAAAGCTAATTATAAAATATATTTCAGTTTGCAACTATAATAAGTACCCAGAAGACGTGATGTGGTGTTACCGTCGTATGCTCCGAATCAGCTGGACACAAAGGGTCAGCAACGATTCCGTGCTACAGCGCGTCCAAATGACCCGGAAAATTATGCTGACCATAAAAAGCGAAAAATCGAATATCTCGGTCACGTGCTTAGACACGATAGATAATCACTGTTTCAACTGATCATGATGGGCAAAGTGGAGGGGAAGAGACGTGCTGGGCGCAGAAGAAAATCGTGGCTGCAAAACATCCGGGAGTGGTCTGGCATTACATCTGTCGAACAATTGTTCCGCATGGGTACCGACAAGGAGAAATACAAGAAGCTGACGGCCAACCTTCAGCATTGAAGAGGCACTATAAGAAGAAGAAGAAGAAGAATCCAGAAGGCAAAAAAAGCTATACATGTGTGTCCATAGACTAATAACAGATAAGCAGACCGAACATTAACTCCTTGTGATACGTATGTATATGATATCCACCATTCTTTGTCCTTGTTCTGTCAAGCACCAACCTAATAATGGTGTCTCGTTCTTATACCTGTAGTACACTGTTTCACACATAGACAAATATACATGTAGCCAGTTTTTTCGTGCCGCCATACTAATATGTTTTTACGTACAACTGTGTCAATCTCGTTATTAAAGAAAATATAATTTCCTTATACTATTATACGTTAAAATAATATAAAATATAATGGTAAAGTGCAGTTCGTACCGATTTGACAGCAATAGCTATAAGAAAATATCTAGAATAACCTTTCATCGAAAGGTAGTTAATTACGTTGTTGTAGACTAAAAAATATTGTCGATATTTTTGAATAAATCAACTGTTTGATAATGTTAAATATTTTTGAATAAATCAACTGTTTGATAATGTTTAATCGTTTATAACGAAGCCTTATCAACTAACACGCCATTTGGTCATAAGTTTCCTTAGAATACAATGTACAAAAATAATAGACTTAATTAATTAATTAAAAGAAGATGTTTCATTTTCGGCCATGCCATGACTTGTACAGTAACTGAGAAAGAGGAAAAAATACCACGAACCAAGGAAAAACAATATCTGGTGAATTTAGGTCTTAGACGTTGGGTACAAAATATAATATTATTTCAATTATTGCCATATTTTATTCAACATGGCGCCTCACACTTCACACCGTATTCATTCGTTCTAAAATCATCTCATGAAATCAATTTTACGTAGAAAGTAAATATAAAAAGTATACCTATATTTTTCGTAGTAAGTATTAAAAATACGTATAATGTATTTAATGTATAATATTGTGCTCTAATACATTTTTACAAAAATCATTAACTTCTTTCTGAAGTGAGTTTCTGAACGAGTTCAACATACATAACCGCTACCATTTTTTGAAGTGGCTTGGCTTTCGTGATTTTCGGTGTTAAGCCAGCGTAAATCAATCTGAAGAGTCTTTGGGAGATGACTTGTTCTAGAATTACATGAGTTTTGTATATTTCTTCTTATCTATCTTTAATAGATTGTTTCACACCAATATATAATTAATAAATACAAACAAAGCTTATTTTGTATAACATTAGGTAATTAAGAACTGTTTTTCGTAACACTGGTAAGATCTGATTCTGATTTATTGACATTGAATGAAACGCATCTGTCATCATGGCTGTCATAACTCATACGACAAACGTCAAAAATTTTTTATTTTTATTTTGTACTCAATTAATACTTAAAAGTAGGATAAAAATGTAGCTTTATTCCATGCAGTGGCTTATTTCCCACCTTCCCTATATAAGTTTTTATTTACATTGCTGTAGGCTAAAATAAATTTTCCTTTTTTTGTTTTGATCATATGTTATCGTTTAAAATAAAGCCTTATCAACTATTACACCAATCGCCCACAAGTTCACTTCATAGACTTAAAATAGATAAGCCATGTAAAGCCAAAAACATACATGCGCCATTTATAGCTTAAACGGGGCCGGACTAAGGTTGGCACTAGAAATAAAGGACATTATTATTATTATACGGTATAATAGAAGGAAAGAACTTGTCTTGGGAGTGGTCGGTGGTATTGAAGGAAAGAGAGATAACTGTTACCTGGTAATCTTCTTAACCAGAACAAGTGCCTTAATAAAAAATATTGTTCTCCCTTTAACGTGTTTTATTTAAAGAAGCAATCTTTTATACATTTACTATATTATGAGGATATTGAAATGATTTAATACCTACCTACGTATATACGTTTTAAAACTATATTTCATTCAGTTCCTAAAAAAAACACGCTTATATCTATGTGGGTACCTAATAGGCAAATAATGTCCTTTATTTCTAATGCCGACCTTAGTTCGGCCCCGTTTAAGCACATGTGTTTTTTTTTAGCTTCACAAATTTTAGTTTATATGTTTGTGATATTTATAATTAAGTAGCTTAGAGCGAAAGGATACTATTTGGCAATACTGTAGTGATACAACCTAAAAGCAAACCAAATTGGTAGAAAATTAATAACTTTAGGAGTAAACACATAACTGTCAAGTGTCAATGTCAATAGACTAGACTAGTAGTGTCATAAAAACAGAAAAACTGACACAGGAGACTGGAATGTCGTCATAATCACGTCTTAATAACTAATTTCATTTAATGAATGACCTGTGTCAAATTTCAACAGTGTGTGTTTATCGTGGTGTTTGAGATATAGATATAATATATGTTTAATAAATATCAAAAGCAATTATATTAACTGAAAAACAATACCACCAGTCGGGGGTAAAAAGTTTGTAGGTTTTCAATCTAAAGATGGGACGTAAAATACCGGCGAAAAAGCATCGTGGTGTAAAGGATCCTATAGTGCAACAGGCGAGACGCTTAGAAGGGTATGCGGTTTTATAATATTATTTGTTAGCTTCTTGCTTTTTGTACGATCATCCACAATCTAAAAATAACCTCTACAAGTTAAGCCCTACCATAACGATCTTACTATTAAAATAATATATAATATTTTAAAATAAGCGAAGCGAGCTTAGCACTTGTCTTTTTGTCTCGCTTGTCATCTATACATGACTCTGGCAGTCGAAAGGTTATTTTTCATTACAATACTATCAAACATTATATTACCAAGATGCGTTATGTTTATTCATTGTTAATTGTACTATTTAATACAGTGTTCCCATAGAAGAAAAGTTTTTTGTCAAGGAAGCTCTTCTATTCAAAAATAAGGATGACAATGTTTATCTTTTAGGGTGCGTCAACATCTGACGAATGAGCCGGTTGCGAGCTGTCTGACGGCTGCTTACGAGCACCCTTAGATACAACATTTCTTATGGAATAATTTGAAATATTGTGTGATAGTTTGGGAAGTTTTCTTACTTAGAAAATTTGTTGCATCTGAATTTACTTTTTGACAAGTACAGGTACCTATTCCACTTACCTGTATAAATAATGCTTACTTTTTGTAGGTTAAAGGGCAAAATAAATGCTCCACCAAAGGACCCTGATGAGCAGCCAGTGCCCAAATCATTGACAAGACTTTTTGCATTCCAGGATAAAAAAACGGAAATAAATGTTGCAAAGAAAAATAAGTTTAACAGTCAGATAAAAAATAATAAAGGTAATATAATTAAGTACATAATAATGAGTTTGGAAATAGTTTTTATCGTATTGAACTACTTTAATGAAACCAAAACTGGATTAAAGCTAAAGGCAGATAGATACATTTTATTGGTTTTTTGGGGATCATGAAAATACTCTTCCAACTCTGGGTGCACAGGAAAAGATGTTTGACTCGTTCTTATTAAAAAAAACTTTCTTAAAACACATTCTTGCTCTTGCACTTTACCGGGGGCATGGTATATGGCTTCCTACGTCTGTGACAGCTTTGTAGGTTCTAGTTGGCGCCAAGCTACCCTAGCTCGCCATTTTTTACCTGAACCACATCCACTACCAGCCACTCGGACCACGCGCCGGAGCAACCGATATTGCTAAATGGCGAAATAATTATTGTGACCCATTCTAGTCAATGTAATGCCTCATTTACATTCAACTGTAGTGAGCAGGACGAGTATGTAAACTTATTCTTCTCATGCCACTGCTAATGCCACTCGCACTGCCCAGCGCCATGGTAGATAATATTGCCGTGACTACTGTATGATAATATAGAGCGGTTTTTAGTGCGGACTTTAAAGGACCGGCAGCGCGAGCGACAGGGCGTGTTTTAATTCTACTCAATCGCTCAGTTGACGCCGGCCGCCCGAAATAGTTAAACGTGTATTTGCGTTGCAGACACAAAGTACATAACTTGAATATAGTTGCAACTACCTATATAAAATGGCGTACGATTGGAGCACATAATTATGTAATCTAATAGACACAGCGCGGACGCTGCAAAAAGAACATCTGCCGGAACTTGAAAACGAGGTGAGCGGACAGGCAGTACGTAAACACACATATACCTCGAATGTGCCGCAGCAGTATTTAGGGAATTATTGCCGGCAGCGAAAGTTGCAGCGATAGGGGCTCTGGAATGTAAGTGGGGCATAAGTATTTGCTACAGTCCCGTGCTGTCTTAATGTTGCACTGGTATTATGTATATTTAGTTTCATCAGGGAAAGATGGAAGCCACTGCGTATATCATTTACTTTTCAACCGAATTCAATAAAAAAGGAGGTTCTTTATGCAGTACGATATTATGTAGGTATTAAAATAAAATGTTTGGATTGGACCACTGCAATAATTGTAGAGTTTGGATTAGGATATTGAAATAAAACCTGATCTGAATAAAAAAAAACACATCAAAATAAGGACAGACAACGGAAAGCTAACAAGTGAGGGAATAACGATGGAGTTTCTTGCTCGTTCTTCTCCATTCGAAACTACACTTTGGAACGAGCAAAAGTGCCCAATTAAGGATTAATTTTATTGAAATAAATATTTTAATTTACATACGACTGTGATTCGCGACTAATTCCGTGATTAAGTAGTCGCATACAAATGTATGTCCATTGAACAGAATGTTCGAGTAACGAAGTGTGTTGACAGGCGGCAGTGCGAGCGCCGCGAGCCCCAACCCCGTGTCTCGGCTGCGCAAGCTGCCCGGGGAGTCCGGCCGAGAGTTCTCACTCCGCATCAACAGCGCTGTGAAAGCTCTACACAACCCGATTGAAGACCTACACTATCCTGTACGTTACCAATAAATGTCATTACAGCTCTGGTTCTAATAACATAATGTAGGTACTTTGGTTTCAGTTTTTTTATGGAACAAGCCCTGCCGCTACAACCTCCCAAAACTGCTGCGACACCTGTAAGCCAGGATCTGCAGTTGATACAACCGTAAAAACACCGGAACTCTGTAGTCCGGCGCGTCCCAGGGAATAACTGTCTTGGTTCCCGCAACGAGATAAATTAACATAACATCACGCCTTTTTATCCCTGAAGGGGTAGACAGAGGTGCACATTTCGGCACTTAATGCCACTGTATAATGTAACACCCACTTTTTACTATTTATGTTATGAGTACCATGTAATAGAAGGAGAGCCTATTGCCATATACCGGGTACATTTCCAGACTCCGTGCGTGAAATCTCAGTAGCAACTGAGATTATTAAAAATCCAGTAATACTTTGCCCGACCTGGGAATCGAACCCGAGACCCTTTGCCCAGCAGTCGCACTTGCGACCTGCCAACGAGGCAGAGATAAATTAGAAGAAAAATATTATAGTGTCCACTCCCTCGGTACATTACTGCACAGTTCTTGTAGTTCTTGTAGTTGGACGACTAGCAAGGATAGCTCGCCGCCCAACCAGAACCAGGCCCGTACAGACGTCGCCTTCCAAGTGCGCCTCAGCGCCATCAGACTTCCACAAATGGGTAGGACTGATACTCAAACCGGTGCTGCGGACGGCCTAGCGCTTTACCTGGGCTCCGACTCGAAGTGCAGGAGTAGGAACGGGGTGGTTTTTAGCCAGTAAGAGTCTGACACTCTATCCCGGCTCACCCAGGCGGGAGAAGGCATTCGATGATTTTCCACTCTTAAAAAAACCAAGCATCAGTTCCAGCTGTTCTGACATCCTTGGCGATGTTTGTTTTGAAAATTGTAATTATAAATATTACAAATAGATATTGTTATTGTATCAATATTTAGGTTTTCTCACAAATAAATTAAATTTCCAGCGAGATTTTGAAGCAGAAGATGAAAAGGGGTTACGAATGAGTGAACACCGCGAGCGACGTGCACGGAAACGTCGCAAGGCGGCGCTGGCATCGCGCGGGGACTCATCCGCTGCAACCGAGCCGCGCCTCTCCAGGACACAGAAACTCGCCCTCAAGAAGAAAGCTAAAAAGTCGAAAGCTATTCAGGTTCATATTCTTTCCGGGTCTTACGCTTAAGATAGCTTGCATCATTCCTTTTATATGGATAATAATGTCAGAGTCACCAGGCCGCCGCCTCATACGAGTGCGAGACAGGATGAGCTCCGGCGTGATCTTACGGCTGAAATGCGAATCTGTTTAGACCTTGGAGTATACAACAAAATTTACTTTTGACCACCAGACCTACAAACCACAAACATATTTTTGTTTGTATTTGATGGCCACTATTTCACCTGGTGGTAAGCGATGATGCGGCCTACGATAGGGCACGTCTGTCCATAAGCAACCTATTTACTCGGGGCTTGAAGACACCCTTCAGGAAACACAGACTCTGGCAAAGAATATCACTCCTTAGCAGTACGCACAAGGAAGCTTGAAGCGAAGCGCTTCGTGCGAGTGGGTGTGATATCCACCATGAATCGGTGATGCTTCATGATGTCTTGTGGTATGATGATGGAAAGGATCAGAGAAAAATTCCCCCTACACTCTCCCAGAAATGTATCTGGTAAAAACTGACAGGCGCAAACCTTACGCCTATGTTCGAGGCTTTGAAGCCGGGCCTCCACAAGCGCATGATGATGATGACCCTCTTGGCACGCCTCTCGATGTGTTCTAGCGCATCTAGCTGGTATTCAGCCGAGCCGCCCAAAGATGAGAACAGTACTCTATACAGGACCGAACCCGTGCTTGATACAGGCTGAGCAATTGTTTCGGCGTGAAGTACCGTCTCACCCTCCATAGGATACCCAACTTCCTACCAGCCAGTTGCGCATTTGACTTGTGTAGGAGCCAAAGTTGAGTGTGGGCGTCAGAATTACGCCAAGAAGCTCAAAATGATCCGTTATCGAAACGGATACATTCCGGTTAGTAGGAGTCAGCTGAAATTGATTCCGTTTGACGGAGAACAGACAGGCCTGGGTTTTGCTAGCGTTGAACTTCGCCAAGTTGGCGTCACCCCTGTTAGAGACCGTCTTCGCGCAACGTCTTTTTTATGGCATAAGCCGGTAAACGAGCAGACGTATCACCTGATGGTAAGTAATCAGCGTTGCCCATGGACACCTGGAACACCAGAGGTGTTACAAGTGCGCTACCGGCCTTTTGGGGATTCAGGAATTGGGGATATTGGGGAAGGGGACGGTAATTGGGCCTTCGTTGCTTCACGTCGGTTTTCTGTGAGGCCGTGGTATCACTCCGGTCGAGCCGGAAAACGGAAAACGTCTTATATACTTTCTTCTGTCGGCTGCGAATTTTCGACGCATTCGCCTAGACGACGGATGCGAGGCGCCACCAGTATCAGGACGTGAAGACTCCGCAAATAGACATGTTTTTGAGTTTAATATGAAAATAAAGAAATAGTAAATATTTTGAGTTACAGGTAACATTTTGGGTGCAAATTTTTCCACATAGTTGTTCAGTTTGATAAGCAATGTCTGCGCCACACAGTATAAAATAAGGGTGTGGGTGCTCACAGTGTAGGTCCCAAAGAAAATAAATGTTTCAATAGAATTGGGGCTTACACTAAGTACAATATTAACATTTTGCAGGCGAGCAACGAGCGCCAGGAGGTGGTGTACGAGCGAGTGTCGTTTGGCGAAGTGACGCACGCACCGCCGGCCCTGCACTTCAAGGCCGCGGCCGGCGCTCCGCGGGTGAGTACTCGTACACTACAACTAACTCTCACTATGATACACTACCGTTCATAAGTTTGGAAGTAGTTTTATTTTTGAACAATTCATAATAAATAATAATGACTGACAACGCTGTACAACATACTAGAAGACCTTTTTACATTGATCTTCTGTCACATTTTTATGTTCATTTGCCTTTTGTAATCTATTTTCTTATGTTGAATAGTTATTTTTTGTTGTTTCATACGTAGTTAGTATATGGTATGTAGTTACATACAGAAAGCTTTTTATAACATTCTTATAGAGATGTGTTCCTCACAGAATATTTTGAGCTGTAGAAATTTTTTCTTTTTAAAAGGGAAAAGTTACAAAATTATTACAGTGCTTAATACTTAGCGGCCTTTTACAGACATTGCAACATTTTTAGATAAGTAGGTACACATTCATTGTTGTTAACATTAGTATTAAAATTGTAGGCAGAAGGTACAAACCATAAAGTAAAAAAAAATCATTTTCTTGCTGTCTACGAGAGGTGTAGAGACTCTCTTTACAAGAGATTCTGAGCCTTACGACAATTTGGCTTTCACTGCATCTTTTTTAATGAAAAATAAAAATAGCACGTCACTGTGCAAGAGTAATTTACTTGGTTTTCTGCAGGTACAGAATAAAAATGTATGACTAAAAACCGACTTCAAAAACAAACAAAAAGTAAAAATAAAAAAATAACTATTATTGGTCATACATACTTACATATAGCTTACACACCCACTGATAGGTGAGAAGTCGGTGCCACAAGTTTTACACAAAATTATTCATTAAAACCTTAATAAAGCTACCTAACATTATTAAGCTGTTTACAATTTTATTGTGGATTATACCTTTGACCATTACCTAAGATATATTTTGTTATGGGTTACTATACATATATATATATGAAATTTAATTGAACAAGACTCAGCAAGTTGAAAACATCAAATACTACCAGCACATTCATTCAAAAGAAAACCTACAACGTACTAAGTCCTTAAAAACGAATTTCATTCATAACATAACATCACGCCTTTTGTACCCGAAAGTGTAGGCAAAGGTGCACATTACGGCACTCAATACCACTGTACAATTTAACACCCACTTTTCACTATTGCCATATACTGGGAAATCTTTCAATTAAAAAAAAAACGAATACCTATCACCAAAATAAAAAAGTGTAGGTAGGTAAACTTGTCGTGAGTAGGTTATATAAGTACTTTATTTTACTTTTTTTTTTCTTCTTTGGCAATAGTTAGGCTTCTGAGTCTCCAAAACGGTGTTGTCGACTATACTGCCAGTGTCGAGTGGTGAATTTATTTTACTTATATAATCGTAAAACAACGTACAGATAACATTGACAAGCAATTTTGACAGTAGAGAGTCGAAATAATTATGTATTGTTTAAAAACAGAACTGCTTCCAAAACTTATGAACGGTAGTGTACCTCTATATACGTAATTAACGAGGTTTACTAATTTACTAATATTGAGGATCCGTAGAGTAAAGACTTTACTAAGAGGGAGTAGAGGGGTAAGTAGACACTTACGCCTCTCTTAAAATAATTAGGTGGCATTGTGTGTCAAACTTGACATCATACATAGATGTGACTCCTCTGGTGTAGCGGGTGTCCATGGGCGGCGCTCATCGCTTACCATCAGGTGATCCGTCTGCTCGTTTGCCTCCTATTCCATAATAAAAGATATCCATCCCAGGATATTAATGAAGTGTAATCAAAGGTGTGCAAAATTGAAAATTCTATCTTTTCAAATGGACACATCTGATATTAATAATAATGTAACGTGCTTATATTTTGAAAAATATCGTGTGCTGGTTTAAAATGAAATAACTATGTAACCAATGTACCGTGTCTCGCAGCCGGGCCGCCGCCAACTACTGCTGAACTCGCTGCTGGGCCCCGGGGCCTCGGCAGCGGGCGCCCGAGTCGCGGCCGGCGGCCAAACCCCGTCCGATGCCGAGCGCGCGCGCATGCAGGCCGTGGCAGCGTACCGAGCGCTCAAAGCCAACAAACACAAAATGAAATAAACTCGTCAACAACTATTCGCAGAGTTTTCATTGAGCGTTGTTTTCACCCCTATTCAAAAAGATTTTAAAACTATTATGGTATGGCTGTCTGTGCCATAGTCATTTAAAAGAATTGTACTTCTTTAGGATCCTTCCTTCATTCCTACCAAAACAACTAAACATTTAAAGTCATCAGCAAACCTCTCTATAACTTGTCAACACGACTTTAGTTTTCGATAAAAGAATCTTCACTATCCTTTAGGCATTTAGTTAAGTCCGCACAGTAGGTATAATGTAAACAACACGGGCCCCAAAATGGATCCCTGGGGCACACACCTTCCCACCGAGGCAACATCAGATGAGAGAGTATTTCCGCTATTCGACTGCAAAACTACACGCTGCCGTCGGTCATCCAGATAGCTGTGGAACCACAAAACGGTTTTATGGTCGAATCCATAGTATGTCAGCTTAGACAGCAATGGGGGGACCTGGGGGACACTGATACAGTCAAATGCACGGGGACAAGTCCAATAGCACGAGCACTGTGCACATACCCTGGTCTTGAGCAAACAAAATACTGTCAGTTACGTCAAGCAAGGCGGTAGCAGTACTACGCTGCTTCCTGAAGCCAGACTGCAGAGCAGGGAGTATACCGTTCTTCTCAAGGTTCGATCCGTCGTTTGATCACAGGCCACTCTCTCCATAACCTTTGACAGACACGGAAGAATGCTGATAAGAACGGTTGGGTTAGGTATCTTAGGTACCGGTCGAACAGTTGCTATCTTCCTTAGGTATATTAGGAAATGTTAAGGCCTGAATGGATGTGTTTACAATATCAGTAAGATTTTATAATATGAGAGATAAAGTCAAATGTTTTTATGTTGTCACTGCCTTCTGCATTGGATTTTAAATTAAGAACTGTCTTAGAAATAACCTCCCGTCCCTATACTTATTATACTCTTTGCTCCCGTCCCACCGGCAACAATGAAAAAACAGCGTCGCCATACCTATTATATGAAATTCGTAGAATGTCAAGGTTGAAATATCACTTCTTGGGTTACCAGACACATCGAGAAAGTGGCAGTTAGTTTTGTGAGGATCATTAAAATAAAACGGTAAGTCTTGTGGTTGTTTGCGTGGTAGAAGTGAAACCTTAATATTTTTCCACAGAGGTTTAGGGTTATGTTTTTGACTGTTAATTTGTCTGTTTCTGTTTGATATAGGCGGCCTTTTTGTAGTATAAGTAAGGAGGTTGTTACAAGGGACTTTAATTGTTTATAACATATTTTTTTACACTCCAACCTCGTTTTCAGATAGTTAGCTAACGCTTGGTCCCGCGAACGCATCATGTAATGAAATCTTATTTAGAAGAAAGACAGTTAAAGGTTCATGTTAACGGTATTAACTCAAAGGGCTCTGGCATGAATTCGGGCGACGTGTCTCGTCGCCAAATTTTTAAGTGTGAGAGAGCCATGCTTCGGCACGAATGGGCCGGCTCGACCGGAGTCATACCACGGCCTCACAGAAAAGCGACGTGAAGCAACGCTTGCGTTGTGTTTCGTCGTGTGAGTGAGGTTACCGGAGGCCCAATTACCTTCCCCTTCCCCAATCTCCCCAAACCCTGAATCCCCAACGATCCTCAAGGTGTCCTGTTCCAGGTGTCCATGGGCGACGCCGATTGCTTACCATCAGGTGATCCGTCAGCTCGTTTACCGGCTTATTCCATAAAAAAAAAGTGGGTGAGGATCTGCATCAGGCGATAGGTGAGGACGCCGTAACGTCTCTCAAGCCACTCCTCAAAGGACTTGCCGCTGCGATGGCAGCGACCCCAGTACAATATTGGATAATGTATCAGAAATATTGTAATTTGTTTAAGAGTAACAAATTGAGTTTCTTGCTCGTTCTTCTCCATTCGAATCTACATTTTGGAATGAGCACCTAGCTTCACTGACGGCCAGACTATTATTTATTTTGTATTTGTTGACGTTTCGAAAGTACCAAATTATGGTTTCATTGAAATTAATGCTTTGACTTGATCGAAATTATTACATGGGTACACCCGCCATCTTGACATCAATACGGTGCGTGTACTGTGATATTTTATTATTTACAAAGTTCTTATAAAACATAATTATACCAATAAATACTTTTTACTAGTACCTACTATTTTTTAGTACGTGAGGTATGTACTAAAAATATAATTATTAGCGCCTAATACCTATGAAGAATTAAATCATAAAAGGTTTTGTTATAATTCTGGGCTGAGTTTTGAAGAAACAAACATGGCTGACACCATGTTTGTTTTTTTTTAAGTCAAGCCGCAAATCGACCTTTATTTAGATAAAAAAATGTTGATGTTTTATGTTCAATTGATTGCTCTTGTAATGTATCCCTGACAAACTTCAAAATGTAATCAGTTATTTGTGAGCCATTAGTATTACTAAGTGATCTGGGTCCCTTTGTGTAATACAATAGTACAGGCGTACCTGCCAGCTGTAGGGGTTTGTGGTGAAATGAAACGACAACTGTCTATTACTCTTACAGAGTTTATTTGAATTTGTTCTTAGAACGGTGACTGAATAAATTCATTAAATCTTTCGCGGCACAACAACCATCACATTCATACAGTAAATCACAATCTTTAAATAAATGTTTATATTATTAAGACATAATATTATTTAAATTAATTTTATTATCTCCAAAATAGATTTATTACTTAACGTATTAGTAGAGGATCACAAAATAATGGATAACCCTACACGAACCGCGAGCAGAGCGGTGCCGTGTAAATATCTCTGACCGGCGCGCCTGCTCCGGAGGCCAGTTAAAGCTTGCTTTTAACCCTTAACGATAAAGTAATTACAGTATCCTAACTTGTACTTCATTTCCTACAAAATAAATAGATCGATGCTTATTCCTACGCATAACTATCACTCTTTGTTACTCTTTAGTCTCTACTCGTAAAATGTTGATAATTTAGTTGAAAGTCTGCCTAGCTCTCAAGGGGAAAGCATGAGCGACACATGCACACCACACATAATACGAAGGGATCACAGCTCGCACAGCCATAAGCTCTCAAACTACGTCTACTCAGTAACCTATACGACTATATATTATGTACACAAGATCATTTTACATCGCCGCGCTCATGCGACGATGGCTCTGAGGCTCGCTCGGAAGGGAACGTATATACACGCTGCAACTACAGTATACATATAATAAGTCTCGTCTTAACTAAATATCACACTGGAGCGGCTAGGCGGGCGCCAGCGCGGGCGCCAGCTTGGCAGGCTCGAGGCGCTCGTCCGCGGCCAGAAGCCGGTCCAGCTCGTCGTCCTCGTAGAAGACCACGAAGTGCTCGGGCTTGGCCACGGCCTCGAAGATGGAGCACACGGACGGCTTCACGTTGTAGAAGTACAGCGGCTGGCGGCGCGCGTGGAAGTCGCCCGTCAGCTGCTCGATGCTCTTGGCGGCCGTGTAGTCGGCGCTGTAGATGTGCGTGCACTCGATGACCACGGGCACCGAGCTGGACGCCGCGTGCTTGGTCACCAGGCGCCGCACGTAGTCCACGGACGGGAACATGAGGCAGCGGTCCGGCGTGATCATCAGGTACTCCACGCCGTGCTCCGTCTGCAACCACACGGCGGTCAGAACCGGTGCGCCGCCCGGCTCGCGGACCCTGGCGCATGCACTTACCTTCAGCATCTCCACGGACAACTTGGGCCGCGCGGCGTGGTACAGGATGAAGATGATGTTGACGATGACGCCGGTGAGGATGCCCAGCTCTATGGGCAGTGTCAGGCACAGCACGAACGTGCCCACTCCCGGGATGAGGTCTAGCTCTGAAAGCGACGCGTCCGTTAGTGAGCCATGTGGCATGATTATGTGCGACTCAGTGAACCGACGACGTGGTCCAGCTGTCAGTTGCTTTCGTAACGTATACTTGCGTACTCACTCTTGGCTCGCCACATTGGCTTGATCACGTTGTACTCTACCATGAACAGTATGGCAGATACGATGACGGCCGCCAATGCCGCCTTCGGGATGTATTCAAAGTACTGAGTGAAGAATTGCAACGCCAGAATGACCATCACGCCTGTGGATACAGAAACAGGAATGAGTTTAGTAACTAGTCCCTCGAGCGCGACACTCGATTGTGCGCGATACTCACCGGTGTACAGGCCGTTGAGGGTGGTTTTCACGCCAGAGCCGTTGGAAACCACGGAGCGCGCTAGGGACCCACCGCCCGGGTACGCCTGCATGAAGGAGTTGGCGATGCTGGCCACGCCGAGCGCGATCATCTCCTGTGTGGCGTCGATAGTGCGGCCGTCGGAGAACGCTTTGCAAATCGCGATGTCTTCGAGCAACACGATGAGCGGGATGACGAGCAGACCCGAGCCCATCTCCGAGACCATGTCCAGGAAGTCGGCCGTCGAGTTGTCGGCGCGCACGTAGCTGAACGGCGGCAACTGCGGCCGAGGCACGCCCGACGGGATCGCACCTGTACATAACACGCTCGTCACGCTCGTCATACTCCGGTCGCGCCCGCGCTCGCCCGACTGATGCTAGCTACTCTACGTGAACTTGAAGGGTGACATGTGAACATTGCTATTACTACGCTACTAACCGCTGCGACTATTCTCGGCTGCCGTTTGCACAAAAAACAGAAAGAATATGTTTAAATCTGTATTGAAAAATACATTGTGTACAAAAAGTTAGTGTAAGGTACGTACCCATGAGTCGCACGGGAGACTGTCCGTAGGTGGCCACGAACCAGAAGCCGAGCAGGCCGGTGGCCACCACCACGATGGCGTTGCGGCACGTGCTCACCATCCACAGACACTTGGTTATCACTTTTTGTCTCGTGCTTGGACCATCCTCAGACTTTGCACCCAGTTTTATCATACCGATTTTCTATAAAATACAGGTTCGTGTGAAACAAAAATATCGAGTAAATTATTTCCACTTAGCACTAGAGTAATTTCGGTCTGTATGTCAGTCACTCTGCACTAGAGTGGACAATGTGGACATGGACGCATTATCCCGGGGCCCGGCAGTGTTATTAAATACGAATTTATTGTCTGGTAATACCACTAGGTAGATCATCAGATAGCGACTGTTCCTATGCCAGACGTTGTAAATTGCCTAAAACAGCAGTGAGTGATTGAGTGTCATAGGTGTTGTCTCCAAAGGCACTGTTTAGGCTTTTCTAATCAAAACAAATCCCTTTATTTGCTGAACAAAGGTATAGCTTGTAGTACATACATTATGTATGGTCAATAAAATCATAGACATTAATTAATTCGATGGTATGCTTAACTGACATAAACAAGTTATGGTGTTTTCTTTAACAAATGCCGCATTAGACTTTTCGAAAAAGTATTGCAATCGCAAAAGTAGTGATTTGTTGATAAAGGGTTTAATCAGCATTCTGGTAATTAGTTTGGATAAGTATAACATAATAACTATCGTGAGACTAAATTAACTAAAAATCACGGTTTACCCACGTGAATATACTGAGAAAAGCTCTATTAGTTTCGAACCGCAGCGGCAGAGAGTAGGCTGCGGGACATCGCCGCGACCGCGCACTCGATTTTTAGCTAAATATATAGCCCCCTAGCTCTCCGCCCTGGCTTCGCACGGATACTGGAGTTTCTTTACCATTTTTATCAGGCATGTATAGTTTTTCTATTTAGAATCACGACGAATGTTTGAGGAACTAATAACATTAGGGCCGATTTTCCAATCATCTTAATTTTTAACTGTAGAATAAAATTGACCGTTGACAGTTTTTAGTATGGAAGAAAAGCCAATTATTAAAAGTTATTCCGCAGTTAAAATTTATCTGAGCATTGAAAAATTGGCCCTACAACTATGTCAATAAAAGTACGTAGAATGTCATCAGCTGTGATCGAGTTGGATTTGCGAATCGTTTTTTGTTAATTTAAGTGAAAAAAAAACAACATTTTTTTATTAAACATGCAAAAGAACATTTCGGAGTAGATCTCGACTGATTGTATTTTGAGTATAAAGTGATTTTCAGTAGAACAAGCTGGACAATCGAGCGGAAACATAATCTTAATTTTATAAAATTGAGCAGTGGCTATATATATATTATATATATATTAAAATTAAGAGGGTAGGAATCATATTACTGTTTATATTAATTCACCTGCCAGAAGTGAAAACATACAAAATAAATTATTTTAGGGTTAAAATAGAGATTGTGTACATTGCACATTTATTTATAGTTAGTTTTGGATTTTAGTTGTTTGGTATTCACGACCTATAGCGCCCTCATTGATTTTTATTTAAATAGACAAACTGTATTACACATATATAAACCTTCTTCTTGCCTAAATATCTATCAGAATCCGTTACGTAGTTTTAATGATCTAAATTCTAAGCATACATAGGGACAGACAGAAAAAGAAACTTTTATACTATGTAGTAATGACAACTCACCCTCATGACAAGTAGCAGCGCGATACAGGAGAAGCCGAGCACGGGGTCCCAGAGCGAAGCGGCATGCAGGTTTCGGAATATTGAGATCCACTGCTGCAGGAACGTCGTGCCGCTCACTGAGATCGCAAACAGGTCCTTGACTTGCGAGGTGGCGATCATGAGCGCCACGGCCGACGTGAAGCCCGAGGACACCGGGCCCGACACGAAGTTGATCAGGAACCCGAGCCCCAGCACGCCCATCAGCAGCTCTACCAGCCCGGCCAGGAAGGCGAGCAGCACGGCCTTCTCCACCACGCCGCCCGCTACCTGGTACGTGAGCAGCGACGCGATGGCCGTGGGCCCGGCGGGCACGGCGCGGCAGCCACCCAGCACGATGTACACGAAGCAGCCGAGGAACGAGCCGTACAGCCCGTACTGCGGCGGCAACCCGGCGATGTTTGAGTACGCCAGCGACTGCGGGATCACTGTTAGGCCCACAGTAATGCCTGCGATCAGGTCTCCCACTGCCTTCTCCGCGTTGTACCTGCGCAACACAGGGGGTCAGACGGACGAGCGACGAGCAGTTCGCATCTGTCGCACATCGCAGGCTTGATATACTCACTGCGGCAACCACGATGTCACGGGCAGTCGCTTGTGCAGCGTTTTACGGTTGAAGCGTCGCCGCAATGCAGCGCGCCATCCGCACCGCGCCTCGGTGTCGGTCACTGACGACAGAAACCAGACTTTATCCCATGCACCACATACGAGTACGGCTAACTATGTACGTAGCCACGAATTCGTCGTGGTTGTATGAAACAATGAACCGTCAGTCAGTCGGTCAGTACATCTGGTACTCACGGATGTAGTCGTTGCTGGCGTGCTTGTCGTCGGGCGGCGGCAGCGAGCCGGACGACGCGTTGTGCTTGCGGCGCGGAATCATTCTGTAACACGAAAGAACACTTTTGTAAACACTGACACATATTTATGTATTACTACTAGCCGAACCCGCAACTTCGTCTGCGTTTTTCTAAAATAGAAGTAGCCTGTTAGTCAAAATCGGTCATTAGCCAGTACAGACAGACAGACAAAATTGGCCCGTGCTTATGGCGATCAGACATCGTCTCGCGATCACCGACGCCCAAAGCGTCCTTCGCGACGGCTAGGTTGTGAATCTCTGCCACACACACCACGACTCCTCCTTAGCTAGCATGACTGCTTCGCAAAAGGAGGAGACGATATCCCAGTCCACCTCGCTCCGCATCATGGTCCGAACTAGGGCCGCCCGCGAGAAGTCGCCGTCGCCAATCACATCCTTGAGGGCACGGCGATGCTCAGCCGTGTCCGCAATGATGACACTAGGGCATTTCCCCCGCCCTATCAGACAGATACCTCCCGAAGCTCTCATGTCCGGTAAGCCTCTGCGTCAGGTAGTAGATGAGGACGCCGTAGCGTCTCTAGCCACTCCTCAAAGAGGGGACTTACCGCTGCAATGGCAGCGAGCCCAGCCCTCGGTTGTGACAGTCGCTGCTGTCATTCCGCCATGAGATCACGCCGGAGCTCATCCCGCCACGCACTAATTTGGCGCGGCAGTAGTTTCGCCCCGGCGGCGGCGTGCCTCTGCGCGCAGATAAAAACGTACGCCGCCTCCCCGGGATCGTGCGGTATCCGCGGATCATGCGGATCGCCATGACTCTCAGGGACACGTGAGAAGCGCCCGAGCGGGCCCCCACATCAGCTTAGGCGCCCATACGTAGGGGGCCTAGAGGGCCATGGACCGCACGACCCCCCGTACAACCTCTGGCAGAAAGCGTTTGGCCCACTCGCTTAGGTTGCATTAGAAATAATACGGCTCTGAGCGGGGGAGCACGCTGGATGGCCATTGTATATTAATATTAAATATGTACCTACCTACATAATTAATTAACTCGTCGAGTACCGGTTTTATAGACACAATTAAAGAACAATAGGTCGCGGTCACCGGTGACCGCTTGGTGTTTGACAGTTTAAAACTCTTTTCAAACAAATTAACAAAATTGATTAATGATCATTAAGATCAAAATACAACAAGACTTGCTCTATTTTTATTGGCTGCAAGATGACGTTCGCGTTAGATTTTTTATTAAACTTGTAACTTTATTTTCGGTGTAGTGTTAATTAAAGTAGCGCGTATAATGAGTTTGTTAATTGCTTGTTGTACCGGGCTCGTGACAGTGGCGTTAGACACGCTGCCTGCTGCCGCTCGGCTCGCTCACTGCTCACTGGCAGCCGCCAGCCAGAGCTAGCTAGTTGACTGTGCAATGAATCCAACACATTGAACGTGTGCTCATATCATAAACGTGCTATATGTCTTCATTTTTACAGAAGAAGGAAATAAAGGTGAAAAATCTGAAATATGTCTTAACTAAGGACCAATTGAGGAAATTCTGCTGGTGCAAGGACGATGGGCTCCATTCGTTATCGATATCGGCAGGTTTCAATCAGTTATGCAGTCTATAGTAGATATACTTTGTGTACCAGACTTGTGTATACGTGTACTTCGCGTATACGTAGATACAGACAAAAATGAAAAATAGGTAAATAGTCGGATCAAATACAACAATTTTTGAAATACGAGGAAAATGCCACTTCAATAGTATTTTCCGTTCGTGTATGTAAATAACACAATAGAATATTAATGGAGCAGGCCAGCGACCAGCCCCGCTTCGCGCCCGCGCATCTTTGGAGAATGAATTACAACGCTAAGTTACTTAGAACGTAAGATTGTTAGTGCAGTTTGAGGTCCCATAGAATAAATTGTTATATTATAATTGCAGGTTTGATTGCTGTCGATCACGATCGAGTGCTGCCCTGGCTGGTCATCAGCTGTCCTGTATCCGACCACAGAGTAATCTAACGGGCTGTCCTCGGTCCAGGAACGTGAACCCTAACTCTCTGTTACGTAGGTACATAGAAAGAAAGTACCTACTGGTTCCATTTTATAAGGAATATTCTTGTGTTGGGTAGTCCATTTCTTGAGGAAGGCCATGGGGTATAATCCGTATAAAACATCACGCTACAACGAATAGAAACCGAGTAGCGGGCGGAACCGCGCGGGAGTAGCTAGTTATTATAATTTCATGGGTTTGTTTTGGTTTATCTTTATCCCGAACAGGGTGAGTAGCACAAAATACTGTACATGTGCGGGTCGGGAGTTTCCCAGCCAATATTCCCGAGTATCAGAACTAGCAGACACGCACGCCCGGGAGCAAGGACGCCGACGTCACGGAGCGTGCCAGGTGCGGCACGCCAGCACGTGGCGGGCGCTGGGAGCGCGGCGCACCGCTGCAGCACGAAACCGCGGTCGCAGCTGCTTCACCAAAACTACAGGAAGTTTCCTTTGCAGAAACTAGGTACCTATACCTATCAGATACTTTTATGGATAGGTACAGACTGCGAGGACCGCCCTGAGGACACGGTGGAACACACCGTAGCGGAATGCCCTGCGTGGGCTGAGCACCGCCGTGCCCTCAGGGAAGTGATCGGCGATGGCGACCTCTCGCGTCCGGGCCTAGTGCAGGCCATGATGCGGAGCGAGGGGGACTGGGATGCCGTCTCCTCCTTTTGCGAAGCAGTCATGCTAGCTAAGGAGGAGGCGGGACGCGAGAGGCAGCGAAGCGCTGCCTCCTCGCAACCCAGCCATCGCGAAGGACACACCGGGCGTCGGGGATCGCGGGACGATCTCCGGCCACCGTAAGCGCGGGCCTGCGGACGGCGAGCATGGGTGGCTCCCCGTCCGACCAGAAACAGACCCGAGCGTAAGGCGCGTCGCGTTCCGCGCGCGCCTCAAAGAGCCATCAGACCACCACAGATGGGGCCCAATAGGGCCGATGCCGATTCGGAGTCGCGGAGAACCTAACGGGTAACCGGGGCTCCGGCTCGACGTGCAGGAGAAGGAACGGGGTGGTTTTTAGTCAGTAAGAGTCTGACACTCCCTCCCGCCTCACCTTGGCGGGAGCAGTCATTCGATGATTTCCCCCCTTAAAAAAAAAAATAATGGATAGGTACAGGTATAGGTTCCACCTACATACTCGTATTATTATGTAAATATACTATATAAGCAAGTCCCTATATGATAGGATTTCAATTGTGGATGGAATCTCATCCGAAACTACCAGACCGATTTGAAAAAGTATTTTACTGTTAGAATCCTACATTACCGATGATGACCATAGGGCCTATGGCATAGGCTATAATAAATAAGATAGAAATAGGGAAAGGTAATAATCGATATTATTATAATATAAAATTAAGTATCTGTTTCAATTAATTGGTTGTATTGAGTTCTAAATAAATAATTAGGCGCGGCAGCTACGGTCACAATATTCATTTTGAGTCCGAAATTCATCTGCGGACGCCTCTGCCTCTACACCGGTAACGGTAGTATGTGTGGAACTTTGTTAATTTGGCTTTCCAGAGCCAGGCGTGAAAACAATCTTTAATTATTTTTCTTCTTTCTTTTATTTACACTAACGATCGGTAATATATGAGTCTCAATTATGTAACGATATATGGTATAGAGTTTGTTCCAGTAATGTCGGCATGCATTAATCTAACAAAATCCACGAGCGTTCGGTCATATTCGGTACTTATCAGAACGGATTGGGGTTTCATTAAGTTTTCGAAAGCTAAGCCGGTGTAGTTTTGTCTTTCATGTAATGGTATATAACCTTCGTAAATATGCGGCCAGGACCTCGTTCTCAATAGTTACGTAAGTAAATTGTTATCACTAAACTAAAGAAGGAAAAGAAAACGTTTCAGTTTGCAGCGCTGTTTATCCTCAACCGCCATTGCGATATTATATTGAGAGGCGGAGTCGAGAGCACGTGCTCTTATCTGTGCAGTGCCGAGCCGACAAGCTGACACCATGGCCGCATGCTCACTAATAGTAACATTATTCTATTTGGCCTCGTATCCAGACAGACTATTTACATAAAAATACTAGATGGGCCCGCGATTTTCTCCGCTCGGAATAAATATTCTAATAACTATATGTATTTTAATGTGTATGTGCACTGAAAGATCAAATTCAGTATTCGCGAAATGAACCTATAGTCTTAGATTTTGCACGGCCTGCATTCGGGCAGCTGACACAAACATGGATGGTCTATTCATTTATTATCGGCGAAGTTATTTTAGTAATGAATTCTGTTAGTAGGAGACCATAATCGACCTTACATTATTAATTATTATACGAGTCCTATGTAGATGTTGTCTATGTGCTCGTAAAATAATTATTTACTATATTATATTGTTGTACTTCCAGACCCTATATCTCCTCCTATACTCTATCTCCTAATACTATATACAACGCTGAAGAGTTTGTTGGAACGCGCTAATGTCAAGAACAACTGGTCCGATTTGAAAAAATATTTTTGTGTTGGATAAGTCTACTTATCGAGGCTATTAAACATCACGCTACGAGCAATAGGAGCTGAGCAGAGCGGGTGAAACCGCGCGGAAGTAGTTAGTATTGTATAAAATTGTACCACCAAGAAGTTAGCTATAACTGGAACTAGACATATCCATAAAATCAGTAAGTCAGTCATAGTTGTTGCTGTTGTAGTAAAGAACTACATGGCAGTGTTGTTTCACATACCATTATTATCATAACATCGTATCAAATATTGCAAGTGCGAGTGTTTGAGTGTGTGTGTGTGTGTTTGTTACTCAACCACTCTCAAAACGGCTGAAGGGATCAGGATGAAATTTGGAACAGGTGTAGGTTATGGTCTGGAACAACAATCAGGCTACATGTTATCCCACGGGGACGCGGGCGAAGCTAGTATATAATTAAAAAGCTATCAACCAAATACATATAAAGCGGACGAGTTTGTTTGTTCGAACGTGCTAATCTCCAGAACTGTTGGTCCTGTTTGAATAATTCTTTTCGAGTTGAATAGT